CTCGGGAGGCCAGCCCTCCCTCTGCCCTCCCTCTGACCTCCCACTGCCCTCCCACTGCCCTCCCACTGCCCTCCCACTGCCCGCCCCCAGCCGCGATGGGGGAGGGTTGGAGGCCCCATCAGTGCTTGTCCCACGGTTGACTGTGACCTCCCCTCCCGCTCACAGGAGCCGGGGATGGGGCTGGGACCCCCATGTCTTTGGACGGGGGAGCACGCCCCAACGCCCTCGGCCGCTCCACTCGGGGACAAATACTTCCCTTAATGGGATTTTCCTGCGGCGATGGGGAAGTTGCCCAAGCAGAACCCTTGGCAGTGGCCAGGACTGGTGACGAAGGAGGGACCTTGCGCCCCGTCCCCCAACCTCGGGACGAAACAGCAGGAACCCGCCGAGGCGCCGCCCACGCCCCTTCCGCCCCGCCCAGGGCTGGTCCCCGGGGAGCGCGTTGGACTTGGTGGCGTCGACGCCCCAGGAAAGTGGCCGAGACCCGGGGTCCCGCCCGCCGCCCGCCGCGATCTGAGGACCTCTGCCCGCCTGCTGTCGCAGCAAGGCTGGGGGAGCGGCACTTTCTGGCCTAAATCCACCCCCTCGGGTCTGTTCAGGTCTCGGCTCCAGTCGCGCCCCCCTGCGCCCTAGGTAGAACCGTGGGGGCGTTGTACCCGCTTCCCGCCCCGCACCCGATGCCCCGCAGGGAGGTGCGAGCCCGACGTCGAATGCAGGGGCCTCTGCTCCGCGCCAGGATCCAGCCCGCCCAGCATCCTCCACGGGGCCCACGTGGACCGGGGCCAGCCCAACCGCAGGGCGCCCGGGTAAGCGTCCCCCTTCCTCCTTGCCGCCCACTGAAACTTGGGCTCCATCCCATCCCTATTGGCCCCACCAGTGGAACTCACCAGAAAGGGCCTCCCGAACCCCGCCTCCCCAGGCCCCTCTATCCTGGGTAGGGCCCCTGACTTCCAGGCATTTCCGGAAGGACCCCAGACGCCAAAGGCTATGTCCTTGCCCACACTCGTGGCTCTGTGGAATGGATTGGCAGAGGTAACCCTTGGCCCCCACCCCAGGGACTCTCGCCCCCAAATCCTAGGCCTGGACGGTGGTGCCGAGGAGAGCCCCTCCCCCTCCCGCTCTCCCTCCCCCGGTGCTGCGGTCTCCGTGCACCCATCTGGCGCCTCTGTTTACAGCTGCGGCTTCCAAGGCACTGAAGTGCAGTTGAAGTGCTGGCCCCACCCCACTGCCCATCCTCAGTGAAGGACTCAGGGGAGGTGGGCCAGGTTCATGATCCCCTATTTACAGGCACAGAGGGTAAAGTGACAGCCGTGCCCCATAGGCAGGCCCTTACAAAGCGCATGCGCAGAGGTGAGAAGGGACAGGCGGTGCGTGGGGCAGGACGCACTGGAGATTTGACACAGGGCCAGGACAGTTCTGCCCAGACCCCAACAGCCGGAGAAAGCCACTGATGTCACAGCCCTGCTCCCAAATAAATCACTCCACAGTCACTTCTGAAATCAGCTTTATATCAAGCTATAAAAATCCCGGGTCCTGTCCCGAGTACACACGTACAAAAGCAGCACTATCAAAAATAATATTAATAACATCGAACACGCTACCTCCTATAGTCTTACAAGTGTACAAAGGCCTTCGTTCACCATTTACACAGGCCAGGTCCTGGCCACGTACCTGGAAAGAGGGGGACAAACCCCAGAGAGCTGGCTCCACCCCTGGTGGCACCCTCAGAGGCACGGGAGAGGCCGAGTCAGGCCTGCGTGTGAAGCGGCCCCTCTAGTGCTGAGGGCCTTCGGGGTAGGCAGAGGCCCAGGGGGATAACCGAACTGGTGTCCTCCCGGGGGGTAGGACAAGGGATGGATGGGGGCTGTGGCAGGCGAAATCACGGTCCCTTCAAGATGCCCACGTCCTGATCCCTGGGACCTGTGACTGTGTCAGGTCCCCTGGGGGGAGGGGAGCTAGTTAAGGCTGCTGATCAGCTTGATCGGAGGGTCCTGGGTGGGCCGAAGGTGATCACGAGTCTTTAAAAGTGCAGAGATGAGGCAGGGGAGAAGGGCTGTGAGGGGAAGAGGGTGCCACCCACATCGCTGGCTTTGACATGGAAGGCGGCCATGAGCCGAGAAATGTGGGAGTGGGGGGCAGCCTCTAAAAACTGGAAAAGGCCAGGGAATTCCCCCCTAGAACCTCCAGAAGGAACTCAGCCTGGGACACCGTGATTGTCTCCTGCTAGACCTGTATCAGACTTCTGATCTCAGAAATGAAAGATGTCTTGTTTTTAAGTTACTAAGTCTGTGGAAATTTGTTACAGGACCAATAGGAAACTAATACCAAGGCCAAGGAGTCAGAGGTCAGGCTTGCCCCGCCCAGACGGCAGCCGGACCCCCAGGTGGAGGGTCCATGGAGCCCACCCTCAGGAGATGTCCCTGGGGAGTGAGAGGGCTCAGGGTCCAGGCTGCAGGGGTCCTGGGGCATCTGGGGGGTGGTGTGATGCCGGCTCTGCCCCCGGCTTGCTGCGTGACCCCACGGGCCCCTTTTCAGGCCCCAGATAACAGCTTGCCTTTCCCTTCTTTTTCAGGATCTGTCTTCAATTCCTCAGACTTGCTGAGCTTGGCTCATCGCGTCCCTGGGCCGGAGGAGGCAGAGTAGGGGACGCTCAGCCTGAGGCCCAGGCAGCTGGGAGGGGACTCAGACCGGCCCGTGAACAGGGCGGCTCTGAGGCAGAGCAGACAGGAAGTGACCCGCGTGTCTGACCCTTAGCCACTCTCTCTCCTTCAGTGCACGCATAGCCAGCTGCTGTTTCTCAGATATGGATTCGTTGGCTCCTCACCATAGGTGTTCCTGCCCCACCAGACAGGTAACAAACGGGCCTGTCCAGCTCCAGCTGTCTATGGGCCTGCACCTCTGCCAGGGCTGGGCAGAAGCGGCAGCAGAAGGCAGGAAGCTTATGAGGGGCTGTGAAGCTGGCGCTGGTCTGAACTACCCCCAGGCGAAGAGACTGCGCCCAAGTGGGGTATGTCTGATGCTCGCTGGGCGCCCACAAGCGGGTTAGGCTGCAGGGAAAGCTAAGCAATCTTTATAAGTGAAAATAAGGACTTGACGGGCTCGTGCGCCCCTGTGTTGACATCCAGGATGCTTCGGATGCTCTTGACTTCGTTGTTCGAAAGGTTCCCCTTGATGGACAAGATGGCGCTCAAGTGGCCTTTGCTGGCAAGGAGAGCATCGCATCAGTCCAGCCCGGTCACCACCTCCCC